TGAAAAAACTTCGAAGAGCTGCCAATCACGCCTTTGAACTCGAAAAGCTTTTGCAGCTCTTTCCGTTACAAAAATCGATTCCTATCGACACTGTCACATGAGTCAAATACATATTCTTAAGTTTCTTCATCACCATAGCCACTCCTACTCAGTTTGTTTCCTCGCCGTCAGGCGACGAGACTCTTCATTAGCTTAGCGATCCCCCGCCCCAATATGCTCTCCGTGCAAGACCGGGTAATTGAAAATCTGCCTTAAATAAAAAGGCTTCTTACAGCAGACAGGATTTGATTAGGCACCAGTTGGTATGTGGAGGCACAAGTAGTTCTAATTCATGAAAAATTAAGAAAAACTGTAAACTGAAGGCGTGGCAAACTTTCATTGGAGGTAGGTGGCTTTTGAATTATTCGAAGAGCCACACGAGGTGGCCCAGAAAGAACGAAGCCTCTTCGTAAAATTTTGTCATACTTCCTACACAAGTTCAATTTACAGCCCATGCTTATTTATAGGATTTTAAATAGCTACAAACTCCCTCAACTCCGCTCAGTTACCTCCCCGAACTTTGCGAATGCTGGTAGCAATGCTGCTTCAAGCGCGCGGTAATGCGCGGCGGACGAAGTGTTTTTCCATCCGTTCATCATCTTAAGTGTTTGCAAGTTTTCTTTTTTTGAAAGTTGTTGAAGCCATCTTGCGCTGAACTCTGACAGTAGAACTGCGTCAGTCAAAATCAGTATTTTCGCGATTAAGTAAGAATCCCTATTAGCAGATGAATGCTGGTCGTTTACTCTGTACTCAAGTATGTCACTTTATCGTAAAATCTATTTTGTAAGACTTAGATATTCCTTAAGAACACTATCCCCAGTTACTATTAAGCGTGACTACTTTTTTCAATTAATCGCGTTGCACATCCGTACAGTATCAGTTACAATTAGAGCGAGTTCAAAAAAAAACTCACCAAAGAGTTTTACTGAATCTGCAAAATTTTTGGAACGGCAACTAATTTGCAGGACGCTATCTTGCCAATATTTCCATCGTATTTTCCGGTTAAAGAAAAAGCGACCCGTTTTTTTCTTCTGTCAGCAATACAGTATGCCATCTAAAGATATGCGAACTTGTTCAAGCAAATATAATGCTAATAATAGAAATGCTTGTCATATTTTTGGAACACTTTTTGCGTAATGTTACGCTTCATAAAGTCTGTTATGAGTGTGCTTGAAACGTCACAGCATTTGCAAAAAATATCAGAGAAATTTATTTCCAATTAGCGTTCACTCGCAGTCAACAGTCAGAAAATGGATAGGGCGACATTTGCATCACATTATGATAAAAACTTGTAGATCCTATTAAATTTTGGTATTACTTAGAAATATTTGGTACTTACACATTCTCTTAGCCTCTCGCAAGGTCAAGCTCCAACAGTACGCAACACAGATCTACTGGCCAGTAAGGCGTTCGTCGTAAAATGTTTTTTACTATCAAACCTGAGAGATAGGCAAACTACATTCGGGCATCTTCAGTCATAGCCCAAATACGGGTATATTTGTAATTGTCGTGCAAGCTTTTCACGAAAAAATACTCTTTTTGTTTGGTCTTATAGCTTGCCCTTCAAAAAGCCTGGGAAGCTCAATGAACTATCCATCAAATTTTGCAAGAGTTTCTAGAGCTCTTGGATGTGAAAGTCTTGGTGGATCTATCAGGTCACTCCGATAGTACTGAGCGTAATCAAAACAAAGATCCTTGAGAGCTCTGAGGCGCATTTTATGTAATTTCTTTCACTTGCCAAAACGCTCTTATTTTTCACCACAGTTTAATCAAGGATCTCAGAAATGTACCTGTACCTAATATAGAAATGTATGTTTTCATTGCTAGCCTTCAACAGGTCAAGTTTTTCGATGCTGTCATTTTCATATTTGGTCATCCCAGATCTCCTACAAAAACAAAAGCAACCAGCGAGCACTTTGGATGTCATTCCATGCAGCTTTTCACTCTTTCTAAGATGCTTTCATTTCCGTTTCGGTGTGAATATTGGGGTGAAATTAACATAATTTATGTTTGTAAACGCACCTCATGCTGAGCAAAAACGAGATTTTCTATATCGAAGTGTGACTGATTGTTTGCTTTGTACTAGGTGTTGAGGCACAAACTTCTTTCGGAAGATTCAACTCCCGAAGTTTAATTTGTGTTTATGCGTTTGTTTTTAATATAGGCCTGGTAGAATTTGATCGTTTTGATGAAAATTTCATCAAAGCAGAACTAGTAAAGAAAATAACTTTGCGATGCTTAGGCGATCGATTTTATATAGGATCAAACCCACCCCTCAACTTGGGTGACGGTGCCATAGAGCAAGTTGAAGATGAAGTTCGAGTTTGAAACATAATTAAACTTTATTAACTTGAGTGCACTGTTAGAATCTACGGCTTTCACAACGAGAGCAAATTAGCGCAGCCGTCAGTAAAGCAGTTATGTAGATTTTTAGATTATCTGAAGTTCCCTGCGGTTATGCTTGCTTGAATAATGCTAACAGAGAACGTAACTTGGCACTATTCGGCTTTTTTAGCTTTGTACAAGAGACTAAACAGTGAAGCATGCTAAAGACTCAATGTTTTGTTCCCGAATACTGTCCTGTTTAGTCCTTCATGGTATAAGTTTTCAGTTCCATTGTTTGAGGTATAATTCTTTCCAATGAGTGGATGAGTGGCATTGATGAGTGGCGTGGTTTCGAAATAGCAAAACAGCAGTCCACGTGGTTGTCGTCCGTTGTTATCTAAGTCCTTGCACGCGCATCCAAAGAGTCCGTTGGACTGAAAAATAGATAAAATGTTTTTTTGTTTAGTTTTTTACTCTTTGGAAGGCTACAAGTTCACACATGAGGTAAGTAAGCATGCTCATCATGTATATGAAACTGAATGTTCGCCTCTTTATGTCTGTATGTCTGTCTGTACGTTTATTCAATGAAAAATTTCATTTCTGGACCGATCTGGACAAACTCTGCACACATACACTTCGGAGCGGGGCGGTTGTCCTGGTTACTTTTCGTCGTCAATTAATTTGTAACGATTAAAAATACCAGCTATGAGGCTGGGAGTTGGCACAAAGAGGGGGGGGGGGGGGGGAGAGGTAAGTGAGCATGCTGATTACGAAAATAATTTGACAGGATTGGAAGGAGCGGGGATTGCCAGCTAGTCTCTCGTGCACATCACATTCCATAGCATTTGGCGGATATGTTCATCTGATTACAAGTCGACGGCGCGCCATATTGGTGCACATTGGCATTTTGACAATGAGAACATTTTTCGAGGGTTTCAAAAACCTTTGATCGTTTTGCACCGAGTTGTGCACGAAACGCGAAAAAAGAGAGATTTTCTCCAATAAATTTAAAATAAATGATATAAAATATTTTAAACCCTCCTTTCTGGCAAGCTGGAGGCATCGGAGTGCCGCTGTAGGAGAGGAAGTTCCGAATATGCTTTCAAACAGTTACAAAAAAGCGAAGGAAGACTAGAAAAAATAGAAAAAAAATACAAAACTGTAGTAAAACATGCTGGTTCTTAGCGCATTGCGTCTTAAACGTGATGATAAATAGACTCTTTTAACTACCACGTAAGAGGCAAATTCTGAGCTTCAAAACGCTTCCGAAATTATCGCAATCTAGATTGCAGAAAAAAATGTTATTTTCTGACATTTTCGAGGCTAAAATTGATACTTTCCAAAACTACAGCATGTACGAGGCCAAAATTTTGCGATCAAAAAATTCCGTGAAGTTTGTAGCGCAAACTTCTCATATGAGTGGAGCCTAAGACTGTTAGGAGCGACGTTTGCAAATTTCCTTCGTGAATTTTCTTGATTGCCAGTCAGGAAAAGGTATAACAGTGCAATTTGGGGAAGTGTATAAATGTGCTTGCAGGCAGAAAAGTAGGAAATTTTTAGAAATAGGGCGCAGATCCGCTTTTGCCACGACTTGTTCATGACTTTGGCTTCGCTTTGATTATTCGCAGTTTATGCTAATGTTTGATAGTCTTGTGAAATTTGCTTTGCCCTATCAGATGGTACCCGCCACACACTTTTTGTGTCTGTTTGTGTGTAAGTATGTTTTGCATAGAACTCCGTATCTAAACTTATCTAAAATAAACTTTGCGCACATGCACTTCGGGAATGCTGCCAATTTTTTTCGATCGATCATTTCGAACGGGGCTGGGAGCTATATTTAAAATTAAAATCAAGAAAAAATTGAAAAACGAAAAATGACAAACTCTGCTCTGTACATAGTCTGGGCTCCTCCCTACGCAAATGTGTACTACAAACTTAAAGGTTTAAATATAAAATAATGGATTTGGCCATACTCTAGTTCCTGAGAAATGCTAATTTTAGCTGAACAACCCCACAAGAAAGCGACATTCTTTTTCTTCCAACCTAATACAAACCTGGTCTTGCCATTACAGCTTGAAGAGGTTATGCAGATTTGGATTCAGTGTATAAAATTCCCATTAAAGTTTTATGTCACCGAATTCATTCTGATAAGGTGGCAGGACGCTCAAACATTTTCCATATTGGAGAAATTGTTAGCTTGTTGAGTTCTGTCACTTTTGACAAAATCCCTTTCATTTCCCCAAAAAAGAAAACTCGGGCTAATTCGCTGTTTTACATAAATCCTGATCGACTTGATGTTTGAAGCCGAAACGTAATAACTTTATTTCGTCACGGTCAATAGGTTGAAGAAAGGTTCGCATTGTGTGCTACCGCAACAGGATAAACAAACTCAAAATAATGATTGGAATAATCGTAAAGCGAAGCTGACTCTATAAAGGCATCACCATATAACTGCTGAATAGTCCATACACTATTTAGTTATATTTTAAGTCAAGAAAAAAGATAGGCGAAAAATAGCAGCGCAGTCCTATGTGCACTTCGTTAATACGGCCTACAAATTTACTCTCCTTATGTGTCCCAATTTCCGAGAGTACAGAGTCAAGAAAAAAAGTAAAAGAGCAGACCTTCTCCCGTCTTTATTTCCTATGTGTAGCTTCACTAACCTGCGTGATATTTACCTCATACGTGACAAGTGCACTTTCGGCGACATCTTGAGCACTTTCGTGTTCTCTAGATAAAGCAGTGACTCAGAGCGCTGAAAACAATGTGAATAAGCAGCTTACTGATAAGGAACAGGAGTACACCACTTCGGACTATAAGCTGCAAGGCATAGTTGAGCTTTGTATGCACTCTCCGACCACCACCGCTGAAAAAAATGGAGTTTTTATGCAGTGATGTTTGTCATTCCAAAAGTACTGAATATTCAAACTTAAGGCAGCAAGCACTATTTCCTGTATATCTTAAACAGCCAAAGCCCCTAAATTTAGTATGACCGACCGCTTCTTTATGAAGTGATTGCATTCTCAAGCCAAAGAGAAATACCAGCATAAGCCTGGCTTCTGGAGTCGGCTCATGAAGACTGTTAACGCAGATTTCCCCTTCGCTCAACCTTATTGAGCCAATTGGTGAGCCAGTTGAAGCGACATTCGGAGCAAGCAATATCTGAGTCCCACGGCTGTTAACGTTAGTTCTTTTTGAATAAACATTAATTACCACAAGAACGGCGAAGGGTAAGCTCATCTCGAATGAATTGGTAGACGAACTTTCACTTTATATGCTGGTGCCCAACGTAGTGCGAATATTTGAGCAATTCAGTGCACAACGAAATTCAGCCAGGACTCCCCAAAAGTTGCCACCATTGGAATAGGCCTATTTAGTTAACAGTGCCACCATCCACTGCATTTTGAATTCCTTATTACATTTTTGCTAGCGCTCATGGAATGCACTTTGTAACTGTCTATTGAGTTGTTCAAAATAATGTCGTATCATTTGCAGTCATCATGTAATATCGCAGCAAGAGAAAAGCTATTTGATAAAGCACAAGCTCTGCAAGAAAGTTCAGACATTCACGCTAAATTTGGTTTACAATTTTTGGAAGGCTCTAATTGCATGAAAAATTTAAAAATCGTGTCTTTGTGCAAAAATCTTTTTGAAAATCCACAAGTTGCTCCCGCAAACTCTCCACATTGACACACATATGCACTGCCTCGTGATTCTATTATAGCTAGAAAAGGAAAACGAAATTTGGCACACTTTTGTCAAAGCGATCCACAGGTTCTCAAAATAGGTGCTATTATAGCAAATCTTCAAAAGTAAAATTAGGAATTGTTAGCTTTCTACAAGGGCTAATTCATGAAAGAGTTCAATTCCACTAAAAAATCAAACTCGACATATTCATACTTTCGATCTATTTTGTTTCTCGTTTTATAGTCATAGAAGAAGTTCACAAATCGTCCACACGAATGTTTGACTGGAGCGTACATGCCTGTGCAAGATAAAGGTCCCTGAAAGATTTATGGTCGAAGATACTACTTGTGCTGAGCTTAAAAGCTAGTTTTGGATCTTGCTTTCTCTATCAAATAATAGCCCGCATACCGTTTTCATGCTTGCTCTGCTGCGTTAGCATGTGGAGAGACATTATTTTTAAGAGCAAGATAACATCGCTACAATTTTGCACTGCGAATCTACTAAAACCTTTAAGTTTCTGATCAACCGCTCTAAGGATAATTCTGCAGTCTTCAGCATACATTAATCAAATTATGAACGGCAACAATCTACGAGTCCAAACAAGGTGGAACCTTGATTTAGCTGGTGAATTAGTTTTGCTTCTTCCGAATACATGATTAAAAGTTGGTGCACCAATAGAGTAGCTTTCACAATGTAGTTTGCAGATTTTTAGAAATAAAATTGTTTGTAATCCCTACTGCACCTGTGAGTTTCCATACCTACCTCTGTTTTTGCACCATTAATCCTCTGAGAGATTCTCGCTTATGTTCTCTTATTATGCAACATTCAAAAGCATTCACATACATCCGCCGCCGTTTTCGATCGTGCTTATGCTTTATATGTAGTTGAAATATATTTTTTGGGGCGAGACGCTCGCGTCAAAAAATTGACTAGTTGTGGTTCGCTTACATGTCTTGCATAACAGTTACGGTTTGTTAGTTTGAAACTGGTTTACTAAAAAATATATCTAGCAGCAATTTCAACAGTTAATCCTTCATTTTTTATTTTTTAGGAGACTTCATAAAATACTGATGTGAACAAGGGGTTTTTTTCCAATTTTCAGTGTAATATTGAAATTAGGATATCTACCTATGCGCTGAAGATGTGCAATGGCTACATTCAAAAAAGCCTGAGGTAAATATTTGTATTTGGCATCAAGCAGTGGCGATCAAGGATTTCCGTCCGGGGGGCGGGAGGGAATTTTCATTTTCTTTATAAGCTGATAATTTTTAAAAATTTTTAAAAATTATTCTAATTGCTTACAAGAATAAACAAGTTACTTGCGCATTTTTTAACCCATATAAGTAATTTTCGGAAATTACGCGACCCATTCTCGAAAGGGCTCCCTCCCCGCCCTCTTCCCTCAGTCCGTCACTGACATCAAGCTATGTATCAATATTTTTTGTATGTCGATTACTGCTGCAGGATGTTCCATAAATAGGTGTCACAGACAGATATAACACGAGCAGCTTTAGAGAGCGCCTAAACTTAGATTTGGGAATTAATGGGATTTGGATTACTGGATTCACCTAGGATTTGGTGCGGAAATTTCCCCTCGTAGTCTCCTATCTCTTGGTCAGCGGCAAATTGGTTTCGGCTTGTACATATGAAAACAGAGTATTAGAATGTCGCTAAAGTTTGCTCGTTTCTGGACTGTGAGCGACATTTAATGCAGATAAATCTTTTCCTTCTGACATTTTTCGCAAAACACAACATGTCAAAGCTTCTTGACAGTCGAAACTTCTTTAGTTTTATTTCAATCTACTAAAATCCTGTTATTTCAAAAAATTTTTCCTACTCTTCTGGAACAAAATATTATGTTGTTCGAAATCAAAAAAGTAAGTATCTCACAATTTATTTCGCAAATTAGCCCATCTGATTGTGAGTATTTTTTGTACTTAAAATTCGAAGAAAAATTGTCAAATTTCTCAGTTTCTTGAGCGGTGAGGGAAGGTACCGGAAATATCAGAACGTCGATATTTTGGAGAGGTAATAGCATATCAGTTTCCTAAATCAAGTTGATTTCGATCAGGTTTTGGGATTGAGATTCTTATGTCTCCCAATTTTTTATGAAATTGCGGATTAGGCATTTCAAAACTATTGTCTTTTGTAATCCTAAAAGCTATTGAAGGCAGAAGTCACTGCATTGCACATGTTTTGCTTTACCCAGTTGTTGTCGAAGCTTCTTTTGAGGATGAAACAAATTTCGAAATTTAGTTAGAAAGGTAAAATGACGAGCTAGAAGCATTGTGGATTATCTCGCGTTTGTCAAAACTCATATCATAACAAAGCCATTTGTGAGAGCAAAACATCTTGCATCAAATGTGCATGAATTTTTAGAACCGACCTTCATTTTAACAAATTTATTATCATGCAGATTTTCTTGTTTGGCTTCTGAAACCAAGAGGTTTTATGCGCCGGACAGTTTTTTTTTGTAGATAAAATGGCGCATACGCCACCTGTGGCACAGTGTTACACCTAAGTTAGCTTTGAATAATTGCTAAAAATGGAGAAAGATTTAGATCGCAAAATCGCAATGGCACATCTGGCGGAAGCTTCATTGAGACAGGCATCTGAGAAAGAATTCCATGCGCAGGATGAATGATATTTAGAGCGTAGAGGGAAATCTGCGGGACTTGATGGTAAATTGATTAGTAGACTGAAATTAGAATGCTCCAACTTGTTCGGTCTTCTACAGCCTGATCAAAACTCATAAGCTCTCCTTGCAAGACCTGCGTTCCATGTCGGCAGAAACTTGTAAAATCAGACCTATTATCAGCGTAGACGGCCCTACAGACCGAAGCTCATGGTTTTTAATAGGATTGTGAATCAACCACTAAGCAGTATACCCGGTCACTTATCCAACACGATGAACTTCGTGAAACGTATCCAAAATGCCGAGTTTGATCCGCATAGTGTAACAGAGTCTTTTGATGTCGGCTCTATTTACACCAATGTCCGAAATCATCAAGCTCTACAAGCATTAGCGGAGCTGTTGGATGAACACGCAGGTACTTTCAACATGTTTGGCCTTAATAAAGCGAGAGTAATGACCCTGGTTAATGAGTGTTTAAACTGCAACACCTTTAAGTGGTCTGGAAATTATTATGCCCAGATTCACGAACTGTCAAAGCTTGGCACTTTTCGCTATCTGCTTTATGAGCCTTCGATGTATTGCAAATACATCGACAGTTCGAGATGGACGAATATTTCAGAATTCTGAATAAACAGTCGCAATACATCAAATTCACGCGCAAACAACCACGGAGCGATTGTCTGCCTTTTTGAACGCGCAAGTCAACTTAGCCAACGGCATGTAAGAATGAACTGGTAGCTCAGGCAGCAGGAATATTCTCATAAACAATCAAACAGCACATCCGATGCAGGTTAAACGAGCTGTAATCAAGAATATGTTCAAAACGGCAGCAACGAACGCCAGAAATCGCGAAGCTTAGCTTTACAGATAGCATGCATATCGGTTAGTCATTGCCGCATTCAAAAGTTCTCAATGCAATGACCGCACCAATACAGTAGTAGTAGAGATAAAATTGGGGAGACGGTTTTTTCGCACGGGGGTTCTCAAGCGCAACTCTGATTTTGGCTTGTCTTAACACTTTACGTATGCCGCAAACCTTTCCTCCCATTCTTAGGGAAGTCGCCGCAGTGGTGTCGCGCAAGACGGTGGTCTTATTTGAAAAGCATAACGGTCAATTGCCCTACACCCATAAAATTGCACATCGTCTTCTTTCATTTCAGACAAAATCAAACCCGCCTTCCAGCGGTGTATGTTTTGAGCGCAGCTACAGAATGAAATTAAACTAGTGGGCATTCCGAATGACAGCATTAAGAAGCAGCTCGTCAGAAATAGACTTTACGACCGCGAAGGTGTATCAGAAAAATTGCGTAGTGTGTCCACATGGAAGGGGAGGAGATTGCGCAAAAGTGGGAGTGTCTACCAAAAAAATGCCTCAGCTGCAACACGTTGTATACTGATAAAACAGGACGAGTACTGAGCACTCGCTTAAAAGAGCATCTGGCAAGTAAGAGACGACAAAGTCTAGTAGTACCGCCTAGTAGGCATAAGAACGAAGCTTAAATGGAAATGACCTTAAAGTCAAATGCACGATACTAATTTTTGAAAAGGAGATCTAAGCTAGGAAGGCGCTCGAAGCCTTCTGAATTTTTACCAAACATCAGGAAATGAACAAAAAGAACGAGTGCCCGTTGATAACTGCTGAATTCTTACCCTTCATATCCTTATGCGAGCGAGAAACAGAGTGTATATAACACTCACGGCACCCTCTACTGCTTTCCTCAGTCGTCTGCCACGGTCACTTACTTCCTGTAGACGTCACACATAGCGGTGGTGCAAGGGTAGGTTTATCTCCGCCTTGCCGATTTTATGGACAGTACTCCCAACGACATCGAAACTAGCAAGATTAGAGAAAGCTTTTGTCGGCCCTGGTGTCTTAGGTTTTACATTGAATTAATTCCAGGACTCTGAAGACGGCGAA